AACAGAATTATCAGCAGAATTCCAATGGGTGACCAATCAAGAAAGGTCAAAAAGTCTTTTTTTTGTTTATCCAGACTGTATTGGTTAAAACTCTTAATTATATGCAATAAGAATACATGATAATACATGAAACACCAATTAATCAAATAGTTTGCTTAATTTGACACTAAAAAAATAAAGAAACCCATCTTTAAGGTAATAGTTAAAACTGTCAGCAGTCACATTGATCATTGCGTTAAAGATTTCAATTTCCGTTTATCTCGATCACGTGTTTCTCCTGTCCTCTATCTTTGATTGGCATCCTAGTTCATTAAAGCAATTAGTTCTTCTAATCAATCTAATCAAATATCCTTCGTTGTAGTAGGCCTGTATATTTTTGTGTAGTAAAGTTTTTTCTTTTCTCGATCACTGTCCCTCAAGGTTTATTCATTTTTTTTCATATTAATGTATATATTTCCCTTACAAGGCGTATATAGAAAATGCCCGAGGAAGCAAAAATGAGAGGCGTCTCTCTCAAGGCAAGATCCGAAGAGCCGAAGCCATCGAGGCCGGGGGAATGGACCGACAGAGGCCCCCGCAGAAGCCAAAGGATTTCAGATGACCTGGGATGAATTTTGAGCATTAAGAGGTCTTCATCTTCACTTAAAAATTGACCTTTCTCAGGCCCAGAAACTATTCTCTTTCAATCCAAAAGCATCATATACCCTAGAAGGAATCAAGTTTGTACATCTATCTATATACATATACTGTTTTTATCAATACAAATCAATATAAGTGTTGTTCGAACGGTCGACCTGGAAAAGTTTCTAATCTATAGGAAGGCGGAGATTACATCTAACGCAATTTGACAGTGAGAGTAGAATACATATGTATGCAGCATTGGTCGTAGCCACTAACCCTATCAAGTACAGAAAATCAAGATAATCCATTCATTTCATTCATCTGTTTCCCAGATTAAACACCACTTAATCATTCCAACATTAATCAACGCATGTAGAGGTCAGGGTTTGTGTTCACTGAGATATGTAAGTATAAGTTCAGCATGTAAATTTACTCTTCAGCTTTTATGAATTTGTATTAATAAGATTGGAGTAAATCAAGCTTAGTAATATTGACAAGCGTATTAATTAATAGATATAAACCTCAGCTATCAACCAACTTCATGATATTTTGATGGGTACTATACAATCATATTCTGTCAATAGAATCCCCAGATTAAGGCTTGATGTTGTTACTTTCTTCTACCAGATGACCTTGGAGCTCTTTTATCTTTGAAAACATGTATGGTATTGTTAGACGTTTTCCAAGGTTGAAACTCAAGGTGTAGCCTACTTCTGATATTTGACTATATTCGTCATCAGAATGGAGCCACTGCGGTTTTCATTAAGTTTAGTTAGATTCCTACTCATCCAGTGCAAGATATGCACCACACTCTCAGTTGTTTGGTGTACACCTGTTCAAGGAACTATCTTGGGAATGTTCGGACATAAATAAAATCCAGATTTTAAGAAATACAGTAATCTGATTGGATAACAAACTCAATTTAAAATCGACTTTAGTGATTGACCAATCAGATGACTGGAACACTATTATCATCTTAAGTTAAGTTTTCAAGAATAAGGCCCCTGGATACAAAACTTTATTGAGTATTGAGTCTCCGGATTGTTTTCACTTGCTAATCGCATTGTTGAAGAAAATGAAATCTGTGCAAAATGCGACGCGACGTGGTTGATAATGATACTCTGAGCTATCAACTTTTGAAACGTGAGCACCGCAAAGTTAGATACACACTACAGCAATTGGGAGAGTGATTGCTATGAAGCAGGTCCGTCGTATCGGTCGTAATGGTTTTATGGAGGTAATTTAACGGTTGACTTTACGATAAATAAATTATGAGAGATATTATTAAGATTAATGATGATTATAGATAGTGATCTCCCGATAGATAACCGTAATCAAACGGACGTGTGCTTAATTAACCAACGGTACCATCAGCGAGCACCAACACTGCAGAACTTTACTTGTCGCAATCTGTTCCTGTCAGTAATAACATACTGTATACACAGAATAGATAACCACAGAAAAAACACAAAAAGTTAATGCACAGACAATAACATGATATACAGACAAACACAGAATATACAGGCATAAACACGGAATATACAAACACAGAATATACAGACATAAACACAGAATATACAGACAATAACAGGATATAGAGACAAACACAGAATATTCAGACAAACACGAAATATACAAACACGGAATATACAGACATAAACACAGAATATACAAACACAGAATATACAAACACTGAATATACAGACATAAACACAGAATATACAGACAAACACAGAATATACAAACACAGAATATACAGAAAAACACAGGATATACAGACAAACACAGAATATACAGACAAACACAGGATATACAGACATAAACACAGAATATACAGACAACCACAGGATATACAGACAAACACAGAATATACAGACAAACACAGGATATACAAACACAGAATATACAAACACAGAATATACAGACAATAACACAGAATATACAGACAAACACAGAATATACAGACAAACACAGAATATACAGACAATAACAGGATATACAGACAAACACAGAATATACAGACAAACACAGAATATACAGATATTAACACAAAATATACAGACAAACACAGAATATACAGACAAACACAGAATATACAGACAAACACAGAATATACAGACAATAACAGGATATACAGACAAACACAGAATATACAGACAAACACAGAATATACAGATATTAACACAAAATATACAGACAAACACAGAATATACAGACAAACACAGAATATACAGATATTAACACAAAATATACAGACAAACACATAATATACAGACAATAACAGGATATACAGACAAACACAGAATATACAGACAAACACGAAATATACAAACACAGAATATACAGACAATAACAGAATATACAGAAAAACAGAATATACAAACACAGAATATACAGATATTAACACAAAATATACAGACAAACACAGAATATACAGACAATAACAGGATATACAGATAAGGACAAAATATATAGACAAACACAGAATATACAGACAATAACAGGATATACAGACAATAACAGGATATACAGACAAAGACAAAATATATAGTCAAACACAGAATATATTCAATGCAATAATATAGAAAATACACAAATAGCAATACGGTAGTATAAAAACAACCACAGTATCACAGAAAAACACAGGTAATCACAGAAAATATGTAAAAACTACTTTTAAAAAAACACATCTAGAAAATTTAGAAAAAGACAGAAAAACTGAAAAAGAATAGAGAACCACCGACTAACACCCAGACAGTAGTTGTGACTTTTTTGGTAATTTGGTCAAATGCCGATTCCAACTTCCATCTTTTATAATCTACAGTTCGCGTTCTTGTTAAATTATAGCTTCGATCTCCCCAGTTACCAGAGATCCGATTTGATTAAGAAGTATTTAAGAATGATTTTTGACACTTTAGTTATTCTGTCTATAGACATTGTAGCCAGCGATACCAAATATAAATACTATTTCGTTGATATTGGACTGGTTTTGATGGATTTAGCAAGAAATTCGTTGAAATATGACATTTGATTTGACTACGTACAAAATCACTTATTGATTTTTAAGTACCTAATAAATTTCTATTCGGTATAAAATAAATAGAATTAAGAAAGTTAACCCCATTTCCACCACGCTGTCTACAGTGTCGGCTAACGATGAACTGTTCTCGCTCAAAGTACATGGACTTTTTAACGAACTTGGTTGGTTGGAATATGATGTCCACGTCAAGCTTAAGCTAAAAAAAAGACTTCAAAGTTCTGCTTGCGCTCTGCAACATATCATGTTAATGAATAGCGGAAATTATAACATGATTCTGGTAGGTTAAACATCAGTGACTGGACATTCAGGACTACGGATGGTTGCAAACAGAGTAAATCAATCGTAGGATTGGCCTATGGATGCAAATTGACAATAAAATATAACCTAAACATAGGTAAACAATTAGTCACAACATCGCATAATAAAGTCCCCTGCTGTCTCAGAGATAAGGCTCGTCCGACTTTGTCCCTCCTCCCACACTTTCAAGTTTTTTAGTGAAAGTATGGATGGAAATTATGTCAGGTTCGTAACCATGTTAAATAGGTTATACGGTGAAAGAGCGTCTAAATTTATCTTGGTGGATAGTTTAGGGATTTACCCTATAGATCAGGATATTGAACCGCTTTTGAGTATTTGGGTCATTTTGGTTTTTTTATACATGGTAAATAGGGCTATAAATAGCCCACCGGAGTTCCCAATTTTACTTTTTTAGCAATAGTTTTAGATAATATACTCTTTTTGACTCTTTTGTTTGATATTTTGCAACAGAGACCTGTCGTTGCTAACAAGATTTTTTTTTAAATGAAAACGTACGAACTCTTTAATGATATATATCATTTCTTGGTAGTAAGTATTGTAATTTTTTCAATTGGTTTAGTTTCAAACATTACCAAAAAGGGTATATGATTTTTTTTCGTAATTCAAGCATGAAAGTTAAACAATTATTTTGCTTTTATATGGTTGCAATTCGATTTTTGAAGATAAATCTAAATTGCATTGAATCGTTACCAACCAGGATGTTCATTTTGTTTAAAGATACCTTCCCTAATTTTCATTTATTGTAATGTGTCTGAAAGATGTGAAATTTTTGTTTATCAATGCGATCCAGAATGAGTTTTGAAATAGACTTTTCTTTTAAGATTTTGTTGAAAGGAAGTTTTAATTCTCCCAAATCCTGCAGTCCTAAAATGTATAACAACTACTTCATTGAGAAATTGGAAGCAAAATTGTAATGGTCTTAATGTTTGTGCCTTTAACACTGTAAATTTCATTTTATTCCAAGGTGACACAGAATCTGGATTAATTGGAGAGCCGATAGGGCTACGTCCATTGTACAATAATGTCTCATGTAAGTTGAAATGACATCTTAATTTTGGAATCATTTCATGCAGCAGGATTCATAACAACCGCTTTTGAGCTTATAACACTATCTCTATAGGCTTTTACAATACTTTTTTATTTCTCCAACCCTTTAATATTTACATTTAACGTCTCACGTGTACGGATAAAAATGTCCTTTACCTAATTTCGTGTAAAAAATGTGACAAACAATACGTCGGCGAAACCCAGAACGCGTTGCGAACTCGATTTAGCGGCCATCGCTTTGATATAATTCATAGCAAAAATAAACCAATTTCTCATCATTTTAATTTACCTGACCATTCCATTGAAGACCTTCTTATCATGCCTATTGAATCAATTCCTGACTCTGATCTTATCAAACCAAAAACCAAACAATTACAGAGAGAAAGCTACTGGATGGACCAACTCCAAACAGTGGCTCCAAATGGACTTAACATCCAGCATGATAATCAAATGATTCCATTTGTTGCCACCTTTAATCATACAGCTGCCAAAACCTCATCCATCGTCAAACAGTATTACAGTGAATTACAGAACAGATTTCCGAATGTATATACCAAACGACTTGTAATTGCCTATAAGCGCAATAAAAACCTTAGTAATTTTCTGGTCCGTGGTAGACTCGATCCCATTGAATCCAATAATACTTGACCCCCCTCTCTATTTTCTAGCTCATTAAGTATAATATATTCTAATCCTTATATATAGATGTTTATCTTTTCAGAACCTATTCATACTCTTTTCTTTTAGAACTGGTAACAAGAAAACTTTCATATTATAGACTATTGTTTATTTAGATTACTCGTGGTTGTTTTTTTTAACTTAATACTAACTATGCTAACTTCACCTTATCTTGTATTGAACATTTATCTCTTTATTTGTGACCTTGGTCAGTGCTTTACATAGAAGTTTTTAGGAACTTCTTCACTCTTAACACTATGAGTAATATTTATAACACGGTGTTCATGATTCATATTAAACCTATTCAAATCGTTCAACGATTGAAACTTTTTATACATTTCATACTCTGTATTATTTGCTTTATTTTCTATTTATATCAATAATTTGTGTATTACTTTGAATCTGTTATATTTATCTCAATGATAATCTGTATTACTAACAATCTTTATATTTATCTCTATGATGCTCTGTATTATTTACAATCTCTATATTTATCTCTATGATAATCTGTATTATTAACAATCTTTATATTTATCTCTAGGACGCCCTGTATCATGAACAATCTGTTATATTTATCTCTATGATACTCTGTATTATTAACAATCTTTATATTTATCTCTAGGACACCCTGTATCATGAACAATCTGCTATATTTATCTCAATGATACTCTGTATTATTAACAATCTTTATATTTATCTCTATGATACTCTGTATTATTTACAATCTTTATATTTATCTCTAGGGCACTCTGTATTATTAACAATCTTTATATTTATCTCTATGATACTCTGTATTATTTACAATCGTTATATTTATCTCTATGATAATCTGTATTATTAACAATCTTTATATTTATCTCTATGATACTCTGTATTATTTACAATCTTTATATTTATCTCTATGATAATCTGTATTACTAACAATCTTTATATTTATCTCTATGATACTCTGTATCATTAACAATCTGTTATATTTATATGTATGATAATCTGTATTATTAACAATCTTTATATTTATCTCTATGATGCTCTGTATTACTTTCAATCTGTTATATTTATCTCTATGATAATCTGTATTACTAACAATCTTTATATTTATCTCTATGATAATCTGTATTATTAACAATCTTTATATTTATCTCTAGGACACCCTGTATCATTAATAATCTGTTATATTTATCTCTATGATAATCTGTATTACTAACAATCTTTATATTTATTTCTAGGACACCCTATATCATTAACAATCTGTTATATTTATCTCTATGATACTCTGTATTATTAACAATCTTTATATTTATCTCTATGATACTCTGTATTATTAACAATCATTATATTTATCTCTATGATACTCTGTATTATTTACAATCTTTATATTTATCACTATGATACTCTGTATCATTAACAATCTTTATATTTATCTCTATGATACTCTGTATCATTAACCATCTTTATATTTATCTCTAGGACATCCTGTATCATTAACAATCTTTATATTTATCTCTATGATACTCTGTATCATTAACAATCTTTCTATCTATCTTAGGGTGATATAAATATAGCTCGAGCTAATTTTTTTAGTTTTAAATTTGGTACAGGTGGGGCCGTATGCAGTGCTCTTACCTTTGAACGTTGAACTTTGACTAAAGTCGAACTTTACAAAGTTAGGATTAAGTTTTTCATTTTCTTCATTTGATAGTCAAATTAAAGCACGACTTTCGTAAAGATGGACCGGTGCATATCTAAAGTTCGACTTAAGTCTAACTTTAGTCAAATTTTAGGTAAAGTATGAGCGCTGCATATGGCCCTTAGGATTATGTTCAAAATCAAGGAAAAAAGGCTGCTATAAACTAAATGATTACTGAAGGTTTTGTTCGCTTATCGGTGGTCATAAAGATACTTTTCTTGGAGGTTATTTGTTTGTGAGCACAATAGAGACTACAGTCATTTGCAATATGGAGCGTATACTGGCTCCATCCATGTCCGTCCGTCGACAATTACTCTACACTCTACAAGGCATTAATCGAAACATGTTTTATATGAGTTATTGCCCTTGATAATACATTCAATATTTTATCTCGAAGATGGCATAATTCTTGCCGGATTTTGAAAAATTTAGGATATTGTTCATTATCATCCAATATTTTATAATGGTGATAGTTCCTGCCAAATATACTTATTTGAAATCAAAGCTTCCAGTGAATGTACATTACCTTGCCTGACAAACTTTTATATTTCTTAGAAATGGTAAAACTAACAATATTGGTACTTAGTATAAAACTGTTTCATTGTAAACTATTTACAAATTTCAATTTCAAATATTTCAGAGAGTACGCAGAAGAAATCGTGTACACATAAAAGCGGAGGTAAGTTACTCTCATTGTCCTAGAATATTGGCTTCCAACATTAGTTTGGACACATAGTCGATTAAGCACGCGTATATTATACCCAGCGTACTTATAACTGATATCCAAACTTATCCCTAACGTATTCGACTAACACCAACGTTTTTTCAATTGTGAAAGGAATCTTTTGGGGAACAGGTGTAACAGTCGTTTTATTATTTCTAAGTTATCGAAACTTTCTATTGAGTTAATAGCACCTTGACTATCCGTTTGACAAATCGTACCTTAGTTTTACAAACATAATCAGTAATAGTATTCACAGCTCATCGTCGAAATTTGAGCCTTCAAATCCACATGTGCCCATATGAAAGTTAAAAATTAGACTCGAATTTTAGTACTTCTTAAGACTGACTATTAAAGCACAAAAAAACCCAAATCAAAAACCGAAAATGCCGACTGTTCCCCTTTAAGTCGTGCCATTCGTTAAAGGGACAGGTGCGCCATTTTTTAATTTTTTTTTTAATTTTATTTATTTTTCTTTGCTATGACTAATGTAATGTCTTTTTCAGAATTTACAAATCGGTAATAACAATACTCTGAATAGATCTGCCAGTAGCTGTTCGTTACATACATTGAACTGCTCAACATGTGACTCTGTTGGTTTACGTCGATCTGTTAGTCTTCTGGAATGTAATATATATGATGTGAAAGACAACATTTCAACGGGTAAAATGGAAAATAGAAATAATCATTCAAATCTAATTGACATTATAAATAAACTAGAGTGGAAAGTGGAAGAAGTAAATCAAAGACAAATCCAGATGAATTCGCGACTGGACGATTTCTATTTAACCAACAGTAAAGAAAAGAACAAAGGTGGTAAATTCAAAAATGTCATAGAGCGTTTGAAGAAATTTTTTAAATCTAAAGCCTATGAGGGAGGGAAGGAAAACAATGACAACATTATCTTGTGCTCATCGTGCGGTCAGTTAGAAATTCAAGATCAGCAACCATTAAATGAGGATGTTCCACATGAACCACAACCACTTAGACGAGAATATTCACTAAACTGGCCACGATTTACAAGAGCATTATATTCTCAAGGCTGGCAACCATTTAGAAGTGCATTATATTCTCAAAAATGGCAACCATATAAAGGGGAATATTCTCAAAACTGGCAACAATATAAAGGGGAATATTCTCAAAACTGGCAACCATGTAAAGGGGAATATTCTCAAAACTGGCAACCATATAAAGGGGAATATTCTCAAAACTGGCAACCATGTAAAGGGGAAAATTCTCAAAACTGGCAACCATGTAAAGGGGAATATTCTCAAAACTGGCAACCATATAAAGGGGAATATTCTCAAGACTGGCAACCATATAAAGGAGAATATTCTCAAGACTGGCAACCATATAAAGGGGAATATTCTCAAGACTGGCAACAATTTAGATGTGAATCTGTCCAAGATCAGAGACAACTTAGTGATGACGTATACAAGTACTTACGTTCACGAGATCTTGGCAGAAACTACGATTTCGATCGTAAAATAGATAATCATGATCCGTGTTTTTTATGGGAATTTGATTCCAGTTTCAACTTAACACTAATCCAGAAAACATCTACGAAAACTCTAATGAATATAAAATAACAGTTTCGAAATGAAATGAATGGAGTTTTACGTCCTACTTTTCTGCACTATGTGGGCTAATGAAGACGGGCAACGCCATGCATGGTGCAATGAGGGCAATTTTGGCAGGACAGCGGCATTACCCTGCCTTTTTTTTAAAATTTCCAATTGTCGAGGAACTTTTAACGTGCACGTAGCACAAGGGGTCTCGGTTTATTGTCCCATCTTAGACGCATTTTCCATGTCATCCCCTCTTATCTGTACACTGACAGGGGGAAACAGGGTTGAAATGTCGAGGTCATATTTTTAGTTTCACCTATTGTAAGCACATATCAAAAGACCTTATAATATAAATCGGTATTTATTTTCGACACTTAGTCTGTAATCTATTTAGAAGTTGTATATCTTAGTTTATAATATTCAATTTTTATTGCTTTTTTAAATCTATAATTACTGTATATTAATATTATCTGTATTATATTGTTATTGAATAATGGTTATTAAAGAAAGAGTCTCAATATGTAGTAATGTAGTAGTCTGTTTCTACAATAAGCTCGTAGCCTATTATATTAACGTATGTATGTATCATTTGCAACTTGGCAATGACGTCACTATCGCAAATGGCATACATTATGTCAATTATGTCAGGTTCATATAACCATGTAAAATAGGTGTAGCCTAAACATTGAAAGGGTGTCTACATTTATCTTGCTGGGTAGTTGTGGGAGAATTACCCTACAGGAAATCCCATTTATGTGTATTGAGTCATTAATTTTGTTTTCGTCTGTCATAAATCGTAAATGGAGCTATAAATAGCCCTCCGGAGTTCCCAATTTTTCTTTTTTTAGCAATAGCTGTCAGTTTTCCCTTTTTGACTCTTAAAGTTTGATATTTTGCCACAGAGACCTTTCTTTGCTACCAAGAATATATTTTTTAATGAAAGCGTACGAACTCTGTACTGATATGTAACATTTTTTGACAGTGAGTAAGTATAATATTATTTTCTATTGGTTTAGTTTCAAACATTACCAAAATAAGGTACATGATTTTTTCTTTCATAATTCATATAGTTTCATGTTGATGTTTGATGACCAGTCAAGGGGAATCTTTGATATGAGACAAATAATCCTAAGTCTTAAATTCGTCGGGAAGTTTCCAGAAATCGCGTTTCCGGCCGTTTAATTCTAAAAAATTTTCTAGGCGAGATCCCAAAGACCAAATACAAAAAAATCTTGAACCTTAAATTCGGTGGCAAATGTCAGGAATTTGTGTTTCAAAATTTTCTAGACAAATAAACCTTAAATTCGTCAGGAAATTTGCGGAAATCGCGTTAAAGGGTGTCAAATTCTCTAAAATTTTCTAGAGAAGGTCACTAAACTTCAGAAAATTGTGTTTCCGGACTAACAATGAACGTCCTATCAATAAAGATAGCAATAACTCTGTAGGAAACACCACTGTTATGCGTAACAATTCACAAAGTTTTTCAGGAGGGTAGGGGGGTAGCTAAACTGCCCCCATGAGATTTATCTAAGAACTCGGATTATCGATGCTGTGATAAACGTTTGTATAAATAATTGGTATATTATACTTCTCATAACCATATTCTAAACTTGGTGCCTGCACATGCCAAATGGCCAGGTCACCCACCGCCTTAATTACGTATAAGATAGCACTGGGATGTATCAAGATACATCAAAGCTGGGTTGTAAGTAAACCAGAGACCAAGATATCGAACGAAAATTGCTATGGACTTTGTTATTGTATGTGTCTTTAGCATTGTAAAATGTCCATTTTATTGTAGATAAATGACACAGAATCTGGATTAATTGGAAAGACGACAGGAATACGTCTATTGTGCAATGTCTTCTGTAAGTCGAGCTATCTTTATAGTACATACAAAACTACCTGCCGTACCTCGTATGGTTTCAAGAATAGATTCGTTTCACCGTGTATAGTTTCCTATTTGGAGAAAGGTACAAAAGCTATACAATCGTGAAGATTCTAAACTAACTCCGTGACAACAATCAAATTTTGTCGTACATGCATAGTAGACCTACCTTATTTTTTTTGCTATAACATCTGTAATGTCTTTTTCAGAATTTCAAAGTGGGCAGTAACAGTCCTCTAGATAGGCCTGGCAGTTGCTGTTTGTTACATACAAACAATTCGTCAACATGTGAAACTGTCGATTTACGTCGATCTGTGAGTCTTCTGGAATGCAATATTAATCATTTACAATACGTCATTTTGATGGATCAGGTCGAAAGCAGAAATACTGAATCAGTGTTGGTTGATCAGGTTAATATGTTAGCCCTCAGAGTGGAAAAATCAAATCAAAGACTACTACAAGTGCAGTCACGTCAAAAAAATAAGGATGCCGCCTACAGTAAAATAAAAAACAAAGATGGGAATTTTAGGAATGGTTTCAAGCGTTTGAAACAATATTTCAAGCGTAAATCTAAAGCCGACGAAGATCCTTATGGTTAAGAGGACGAGAAAACATACACTGTAAAAAAGATTTCCTTCCAGCAGCTGATTTACCAGAATTTAAATTTTGCCTTCAGTTATATAACAGAATTTCTTGTAAAATATTTGCTTTAAATAACAGAAATATTTTACGACAAAATCTGTTAAATTACAGAATGACTAATAATATTTCCTGTAATTAACAGAAAATAGGAAGGATATTCTGGTAAATCAGCTGCCGGAATTTTTCTAATATTTCCTGTAATTTAACAGAAAAATAGGAAGAATATTCTGGTAAATCTGCTGCCGGAATTTTTCCTTCCAGTTCTGTAAAAAAACAGAGTTTTAAAAAGGATATTCTGGTAATAAATCTGTTGCCAGAAATCATTTTCATTTTACTGTAAAATAACAAAACATTTCAACTTTATGTGTTTATTGGTATTATTTGTGCATTTAAAATAATCAGAGAAAATGATGTTAACTACACCTTTAATTATACATACAACTGAAAATGTGGGCGTATAAAAACAATCTCTTGCATAAAAACTGATGAACTTGAAATACATACTCATCACTAATGACATCTTTTAATGATATTCTCATAAGTAATGACATCTTCATAACGTTCTGATTTAACTAATTCGGATTTAACTAATGTCTTTTTTTATTTATGTTGACACTCTTTTCTCCACATTGCCCATATTTTATTAATATTGACAGAACCTGTGGTCCAGTAATGCTACTACTTCACTTTTTTTAGTGTTCCACAAAGTTATAGGACTCCATCATCCAGCGCAATACTGTTTATGATGCAACTCTAATCATTATTATAAGGCCTAATTGTTTTTGATGTGCACAGTTAATTGTTGCTCGTTCGAAAGTCAGGTCAAATCTCATAATGCTCCGTAACTTTTAGCTGGTAAATAATGGCAGAAACTCTAAAGAAAGGGAAAAGGTGACATACCTGAAAAGATAAATTTAAAATGAGAAAATATTTGTTGTGCTAATGTACTGTAGTAGTGTAGTAATAGTAGGGCACTGGATCTTTTAGTCCAATTCGCCCTCGTTTATGAATTTTGTAATGCCTCGCCCACGTGGTGGGTCCTAACATTGAGTGTAAATGGTTAAGGTTTATTGACAAGAAGATTAATGACAGAATTCTCATTCCTTGTATTCTGGTGCAATCATAACCGTAAAAGGCTGTAAGTACTAAAAAAAAAGCGAGGATGTACAAAAACATAAATTAAAAATAATAAAATAGTAAAGGCATAAGAAAGTGGATGGAATTTAAGATCATGATGCAATGACACACTGTCACTTATCATGGGTGGCCGTACAAAATAATTTCTTAAAAGGTTGCACAGTTTGACATTCCAGACATCGATAAGACATTGCAAATGTTATTAATAGTAGGTACAAACATTTCATATAGTGTCACATGTACAAAGTTGGTGGGAAAACTGACTTGAGGGATCTATGCATAATTTGGCGCCATTTTGTCGGGTTTGTTTACATTTTGGTAAAAGTTTTCAGACAGCATGAAAAAACATACAATTGCAATAGAAATTATGGATCCTGTGATATTTCATATCGTCGGAGGCTTTCTTATGTAATCGGGTATAAACTTACATTGCGGTTGGCTAAACCTGAAGAATTAGAGAAATGAATTTGAGGACTTCATTGCTGTGAAAAATTATTAATTTTTCTACTCTCTTAGACAGAAGAGTTCTAAACAGAAAGATGACTCTTGACAAGACTGATCTAAGTTTCAGACCACAAATACCTCACATATATAAAGTGATAAAATGGTAACATTACAAATTTACTTAGGCAATAATCAAAACACACTCACCTGTGAATTTGTATTCAGTGATCATTTCCGCTCTACCCAAGACCAAGTAAGCTAAGCCTAGTCTAGTTCATCGCGTAGGATAAATTTAAGTCATTTTGTCGTTTTCCCCACACGCTTAAAATTCAGTAAAACATTTTGCAGTTTTTGACAAATGGTGATAATAGAACAGGAATGAGTGGTGGAATATCGGGTCAGCATTTCAAGTTCTCCATGCATCTCAGCATATTAAATTTAATTTAAGAAATTCACAAAAATCCCTTCGACGTAGCCTTGTTTTGATGTGGGATAAGATGGCGGCGTGACGATAGACTGACCTCGTGTCTTTACCGATGACGTCATACCTACGTTGATTGGCAGGTCGAAACTATCATAACGCAAAATCACAGTTTCCGTAAATTAACAGCAATCCTGTTATAATTTTCCTTAAGGAAACATAAAGTTCCTGTCAAAAAAACAGTATGACCACCCATGCGCAGACTTCGCTTATCTACAGACAAGTTTGGACATACATGATAATAACACAGAATTTACGTAAATTTACTGACAAATAACGTAATTGTTCTTAAATGACATACGACCAAGATTAATTTACGTAAAATAACATATTTCCTTATTGCGGAACTAACATTCTGTTAATGTAAGAACAAAGTCCGTAAATCAACAGAAAAGTATGCATATCAGCAGAAATTTACGTATATCAACAGAAAATATGAAGTACATTTCTGTAAAAAAAAACGGACTTTTTTTACAGTGTATGACTCAATAAGTCTGCGCTCTTCTTCGAAGTTCAGTTCGGAATTGAAGATCAGCAACAATTAAACGAGAGAGTGCTACAACCACCACAACCATCATGAAGGGAATCGTCCCAAGACCAGCAACCATTCAGAGGGGATTTTCCCAATAATGACAGGAGAATCTTCTCAATACCGTCAGCCATTTAGATCTTCTCAGGAGGGCAACTATTTATATTGAAGTCTTCCCGTGAACTAGAGCGAGGAATTACACAATAACGGAATGGAATTTACTTCGAATAATTGATAATCATAATCGCTCAGATGAAATCTACGAAAACCTTAATGAAGTCACTATATTACCTTCCACCAATTGCAAGTATAGAACAAGAAACGTATCAACCTTATAAAATTAATCAAATGTGAATAAATTGTTTTTTTTTTTATCCCGTTGGCTTTCAAAGAGGACACATAAAATGAATGGCCGAAGTTGATATCGCAAACTAGTAGACAAAACTTCGTCTCCAGTCGTTTAATGCCTATACATTTTGCTCTGCAAGGTGTTATATTATATACAATCGTATCTTTCAAATATTAAGCCAAGTGATAATAAATTTGTGTCATGTTCCAACACGTGAAGAACTATATTTTGTAACGCGAATGTAACTTCCGCCTAACAATGAAAGACGATCTTCTTCCATCTGCATACGAGGTTATTTTCAGGCGTAGCGAGAATGGCCGCCGTAGATACGATTGAGTGAAATAGTGAACTGAGACTTATTGAAACCAGTGGCGGAGCAACCTCCCCCCCGCCCCCCTCTTTACAATACCTTTAAAACTTATCAAAAATTATAAATAGCCGCCCGGATTTCCCCTAAATATATATACTGATCGGCCATAAAATAGATGTTTTTTAATACTAAAGTTATTAGGTAATTATCTTCTGTTTATATAATTTCATGTTGATATTTGATGACCGGAGTACTTTTATTAGATATAGAAGAACTCTATAAAAAAAATATTTCAGGGCATTTATTTATTAAAAATCTTAAACTGTAAATTTTTATTGAAGCTTCGACAACCCGGAATTTAATTACATTATAGAAATAGGACTGACACTATTTACCACGGTCGACAAGGTTGTTCATTTGACATAGATTACCATAAAATGAATTGGTCTTTTCTTTTTTAAAAAGCATTTCGATTATTACTTGTGATAAACATTTATCAGAAATTTATTAATTACGGTTTGCCACCCGACAATTACCAACAGCACGTGAAGGGTCTTAGTCTAATTTACAATATTTACCACGTAGCCATTGTCATTAAATAGTTCAACAATAAGCTTCCCGTTTAATAGTTTATCAAAACATAACACTGGTCAACGATTCCCTAGTTATACCAGAAATGCGTCATCAAGGCGCTGAAAGTGAAACGGCAATGTTTGTTGTCATGTAACCCAGGTCAGTTCATCATATTGATTAAGTTGCAATGCCATTACCGCAAAATAATACGTACACCTTATATAAGACCCTGGCTATCATATTGAATATATATGTGAAGATGGATATAGACAATGAAATTCTAGTTTGAGGAATATTTAAACGCATTATGAGATATTCACCCAGATCTTGTAATTCTGAAAACCTTATACTTATATTAAAGGCCAAAATCTACTCACGAAAAACTCCGATTAATGCTATTAAAAGTATTTTTCCCATATATACTGAAAAACACCAATCATCCAGGACGATGTACGCCCACTTACAGCTTTTTAGCTTTGATTAAGATAATTCGAATATACATAATGAATATTTGTTAGATGTGAAATATTTGTTTATCAATGCGATCCAATATGAGATTGGCATGTACTATTTGGACTGATTGTACGTAATTTTAGATCTCGTGGAAGGGAGGTTTTGATTCTCCCAAATATACAGGCTTATAAGGATGGAATAATTACTTCAAAATTGAATTATAATTTGTTAACACTGTAAATTTCAATTTTATTCTAGGGTAATGACACAGAATCTGGATTAATTGGAGGGCAGATAGAGCAACATCTATTGTACAATAATGTCTAATGTAAGTTGAGATGACATTATAATTTTATCACAATATTAATATTGGTCGCAGTTTATATACTAGATTAGAATAAATTAGATTAGATTAGAATAAAAATAATAATGACCATAATGATAATATATGATTATGAAATAAGGATAACAATTATGAGAAAGATTCTTTTAATAGATTTAGAAATCTACACAGCCGACAATCATCTCAATATCACTTTCAAATACCCCCCCCCCCCCACCCCCCCTTCCCCTTCTTCTGTGATTCATGACCACTCTACCCCCACCCCTCTTGCCCTTTCAGATATATTACTTGCAAGACCACTCCACCTTTTTTTCGTTCAAAACTATTGACAATTTATTTTAAAATATTTATAGGAAGAGGCCAGAAATGTCTGCTTTAATTCAGAGTTGATTGAGGTGAGTTACTATTTCCCTTATTGCCTTAGAATACTGGATTCCAACATGAGTTATGAATATCCGTACAGTCACCAAGTACAAAGTGGAGTTATGAGGATTCATAAGCTGGAAACTGGGCCCTCGGTCCACAAACCTTTTTTCATACCTATTGTCTTGAGCAAAGTAAAGGGTTTTTTGAATTTTCCCATTATTTTTATGAGAATTGGAATATCAGTTTCAAAATCCTACTGATCAGAAAAGCCAAAATTTTAGACACTCTTTCTACAGGGAAAATGTGTTTCTTTGCAAAGTAAAAAATATTATATTTTTATCAACACAAAGACATTCTAAAACTATCAATACTATTTTGAGATCGAAATATCGAAAAAATCAAAAAAAAACTTTTCAACTTGCATAGACAATAGCTGAGGTTGTACTCAAAAATTAGAAGCAGCTATTACAGGTGCGTAACTGATTGTAGACTATATCAATCTATTCCCTGGAGCACAATGTTTGCACCTTCTACAAAATGTCATTACGAACTACAAACAAATACGATCTATGTTAATACGTTCATGTGATACCTAAGCTGAAACTTTCTATCAAGGTTATTTTATTTTTTTTTGAACAATTGCCGTCAATTTGAACTAAGTTGCCAACTTATAACTAATGTAATTTGTCTTTTTTCAGAATCTTCAAGTGGGCCATAACAATATTCTTAATAAATACGGCAGTAGCTGTATGTTACATACAAACCACTGCACAGCATGTGAATCTGTTGCTTTACATCGATCTGTAAGTCTTCTGGATTTTAATATGAAGCGTGTACAAGAACACATGGCGACTGGTATGGTGGAACATAGAATTAATCATTCAAATGTAATGGAGAGTTTAAATAGATTATCCTTAACAATAGAATATATGAATCAAAGACTACTCCGGTTGGAGTCGCGCCAAGAAGATTACGACGAAGTCCATGCAGTAAAAAAGAACAAAGGTGGTAAATTTAAGCGTTTTTTAAAGAAACTTTTAAAACGTAAGTCTAAAGCCGATGATTTTTACTTTGATGTAATTTCAGAAGTTGAGTCACCCTATGACACGATTAGCGTTTCGTTTGGTAACTTTGAAATTGAAGATCAGCAATCATTAAACGAGGGAGCGTCACTTGAACATCAACCATTCAGAGGGGAATCTTCCGAAGACCAGCAATCATTTAGAGGGGAATCTTCCGAAGATCAGCAATCATTTAGAGGGGAATCTTCCGAAGACCAGCAATCATTTAGAGGGGAATCTTCCGAAGACCAGCAATCATTTAGAGGGGAATCTTCCCAAGACCAGCGACAATTCAGAGGACAATCTTCACAAGACCAGCGACCATTCAGAGGGCAATCTTCCCATGACCAGCAACCATTCAGAGGGCAATCTTCCCATGACCAGCGACCATTAAGAAGGGTATTAAGTGAAGGAGTGTACAATAACTTGAGCTCAATTCAAACTGACACGAGCGACTATCGCAGAATTGATACTCAGATATATCAAACTGACCCAGATGAAATCTACGAAAACACTAATGCAGTCACTGTATCACCTTCAGAATCACTGTATTGCACAGTTCCACCAATTGCGAGTGTTAACCTAGAACAAAGAACGCACCAATCATTTAAATCAAATCAAAATTGGTATGGATCAAGCGAATGGGGTGTACTATACTGACCTCAGACGCATTCGTGATACAATTAATGATGGAAAAACTTTCATCATGTAAATATAAATATATTTTGTCCCATTGGTTTTCAAAGAGAAGAAATAGAATTACCACGTTATATATTGTTAATAGCGCTGGAAATTAATGAAAGTTAACTTCCGATCTTCTATAAAAAGAGATACACTGTGTGCCCGATGCCGAGAGCCTACTAATGGACAGCAAATCGCCTCAATCAAATGGCTTGAAGTTGAAGGCTTGTTGTTTGCAATGCCACATATGGCTTCCAAGATAATTTTTTACATAATATATTATTGTTTTGCTTTTTTTTCATAATAATTTTACTTACTATATTTGTTACAAAACGTAGTTTGTAATGAATTCCATGTCCATATATCCCAAATTCTAGGGCTAGAAAAAATGAAAAATTTATTCTCCGCTTTCCTGGATAAGAAAATTTTCCAGGGGAGATCCGCCCCCTGCCCCATCCCCACCACCTCTAAATCCCCACAATGACTAGTGTTCCCTAAAATCTAAAGTGGAGCAGAGGTTTTCGAATGGCCCACCGCCAATGAAATCTTGACTTTCCCTCCTCCTCGGAAGTAAATCTGGCTCCGCCACTGTCTTGGCTACGCCACTGCACTAGTGTGAGGGCACCTTTTTAGTTACCTGTAGAACCATAGGAAACTGGACTATGGTACTTCGAGGCCCTATCAACAAGGATAATGATCGTAATCGCTCAATTCTGAAAAGTAATAGGTTATGTTGAGCTTTGTTAACTGTTGAATATAAGAGCTTATATTTGAATTTAGTAACACATGTTCACATCCATCTTTTTGAAAAAGGATTATTTTAGTCTGCAAAATGTACTGTCCAAAATATAATTATTTTGTACAAATTATTTTAAACAAATTCTTCTCCTACGCCAGTTGGCCACACCCCTGACACCCTAGTCCCACACTCCAGGTGCGGATGTATTTCAGCACGTTCAAATTACAGATATTTAGGTTTCACCTCTATCTAATCAAAATCAAACCAAATCAGCTTTTATTTGTAATTTAGCCTTCTTGAAAATCCGTTCGTTTGATTATACCGCTCGCTAACACTGAATGCATTTTTTGTTCCCGGCACTTAATCCCAGCGTTGGAGAGGGCAAAAATTTGATTAAACTGGTTTTCACCTTTTCTGTCTGGGACCCATATTGTACTTGGAATATACCAAAACACTACTCTTTAACTTGAAGACTTATTGATCTTGTAAATTTACCAGAACATTTACATTTCATCTGACAAACTTGTAGGTTGTTTTGAATATCACTATCAAAATTCGTTCAGTCTTCGTAGCATTGAAAAATGCAGATAAAATAAATCAAATAATACATTTAAATCTGCATTTAAGTCGTCTTGAATTACTCAGAAAGCCAGTAAGTTGTAGGGCTGATGACGATAAACTTGACGCCATGGTATCTATTAATATCCTAATTGACTTCTCATTTCAGATGTCAAATTTCTAACAGTATTTGGACGTCAACTTGACACTAGTGGACAAGTGGGCGTTCAGTGTCATCCTATTGACCGACAAGTCCACAATCAGATAAACTAAAGAGAAAATTATTGAAAACAAAATTATCTCATAAAATGGTTACACGGTAGATAAATTTCGCAAACACGAGACTGTACACCAGAAGAGCGTTCAGCTGTCCACTTTTATAAAATTATGTAAAACTCCCCCTTCAGTTTGATCAAATTATGACGATAGACCTACTCGTGATTAAACGTTTCGTCATCTTCGTTATTTTTCATTTAATCTGGAATAAGTATATCTTTTTATCTTATTGAAATTAATATAGCCCCCTACTTCTTTAATGTATTACAAATATCAAATAGAAAACTTGTCAAAGATATTTAATGCAACTAAGTACGATGAACCCAATCGTAATGTTGAAAGTTTTCCGGATAAACGAAATAAGGCCCGTAACCAGACTTTTCGGGTTTTTCAAAGGGTTTGGGGAAATAATATATCTGGAGGGGCATGTATGTTGTTTAGTTGTAGTAACAGAATTAGTGGGTTGTCAAACAATGAAAAATTTGTCGAAGGTCCACAAATACAATAAAACAACTTGGTCGTTGTAACACAAAAATAACCTGGCCGTTGGTATAATGTTTTTGTTTATCTGTGGAACTTCAACCAAGTTATTGTTTTGTATTGTATTGTATATTGTTTTTTTTGTATTTGTGTACCAACGACCATATTATTTTTGTGTATTTGTGTACCAACGACCATTTTGTGTATTAGTGTACCAACGACCAAGTTGTTTTTGTATATTTGTGAACCAACGACCAAGTTGTTTTGTGTTTTTGTGTACCAACGACAAAGCTGTTTTTCTTTATGTCGACTAAGTTGTTAGTGTGTTTTTGTAAAAACGACCAAGTTGTTATTGTGTTTTTGTGTACCAACGACCAAGTTTTTTTTGTGTATTAACGACCAAGTTATTATTGTGTTTTTGTATACCAGAGACAAAGATGTTTTTGTGTATTTGTGTACCAACGGCCAGGTTTTTTATTGTATTAACAACCAAGTTGTTATTGTGTTTTTGTGTACCAACGACCAAGTTGTTATCGTGTTTTTGTGTACCAACGACCAAGTTGTTATCGTGTTTTTCGACTTTGTAGACAAAGTTGTTTTTGTGTACTATGACCAGATAATAGTTGTTTAAACTAATCAATCAAAACTTTCAATGTTCGATATGTACAGGAGTGGTAGTATCAACTGTATTGAATATTTTTAATCAATCATTTTATGTTTTGGATGAAATTCTCGACAGATTAATAATGTTTTCTGTCTATGTTGTTGATATTTCCTGACTCTTGATGTGTTAATTCATAGGTCTAGACCCAAAGAGGACAGAGTTCATAGATTAATCATTATGCTTTGACCACAAAACTGTGCTTTCGTAAATTTTGCTTCATAATAACAAAGGCGTTCTGCTATCCCACTAAAACTATGCGTTTGATGACGTCACTCACTAATCGCAAAATATTCTTTGTCACGTAAGCCTTTTCCCGATTAGTGAGTGACGTCACCAAACACAAACATCAAACCACAGACGAATGGTGGAAATTGATGCTATCACTCTTTCCGATGCAAAAAAAAAAAAAAAAAAAATTAAAAAAATTAATTACAGTACTCCCTCTAATGAATAAAGCCGTTTAAGGTTTGGTATGAATTTTCATCCAGTTTACTTTTATTGGTTGAGTTAGAGAACAATAAGACATTTCGCTCCTAGGGGACAGAGGCGCTATTTGGGGTATTGATTTTAGTCTTGAATATATGTACTTCAGTAGTTCTAGAAATGTACGAAAATAACATAATTACTATTTCTATATATGTCTTTTCTATATATCACAGAGTATCTTAAAATGACGAGTCGTCAGAGACATTAGTATGATTGGTAAAAAAAAGTAAATGACGCAGCTATTTCTTTAATATTGAATGCTTATTTTCTTTTATTTTTATCAACAAGACAAGACAAGACAACTTGGCGACTGCATTGACGGATTTATTGGAACTCAGACACTTTTAGCGTTTGTAAAGGCGGTAAGGATATAAAGGGTGGAATAAGAAGTGGAGAATTTAAGAAACTAGCATAGACTGAATAGAAAAAAACTAACAGATGACATTGTGTCTAATGTGAAAAAGTATGATTTGAGTTTTAAAACTTTGAAAAGGATAAAGTTCAACGTAATTCAATCCTACGTGTACTTTTTTCATTTTTGACAGTGTAAAAACAGATACTGTGTATTTTCCATTTTTATGCGACAGTTTTTCTTGGTTACGATCATGAATTACACGAAAAGGAATTTTAGTTTAATAAAAGCAAACGGATTTGAATCAACATATAGAAGCAAATAAAACTGTCACCACGTTTCTCTTAGAATCAACAAGAAACATTAAGAAAAAGTAAGTATAATTGTTATTTTAGAATGGTCGTGAATTGTGAGTTATGGCGCAATTTTTATGAACAAAGTAATAATATAGTCCCTTGAGTTGAAAATGTGAAATTTACGTGTGTCTAAACTCTGTGGGGAATGTTTAATTTGATAATTTTAAAGGTTAATTCTTCTGTTTTACACACTTTTCTGTGAAGTTTAACGACTGCTGTTCCAGAAAAAGCCAATGATATTGCTTGTGTTCTAGTTTCAAAGTAATTCCGACGTAGGTAGTAAACATGTTCAATATTAGGCCCGATCGGGTTTTAGTATATAGTAGTCCCTGGATAGATTTCGTTTTATTTATTTATTTGACGACGTTAAGTTCAAACGAGTGTTAGTCCCATATTGACTACTGGCTACTGAATAGATTTGTCGACTACAAGCTATGTTGTGTTTAAGCCCTGTATTAACTGCTGAGTAGATTGTCGATAGTCCGATAGCGGCTAAATTTGTGGACTATAAGTTATTTTGTGTTTGCGACTGACAGTGACTACGGAACAGATTTGTCGACTATACATTCCAGTTCGAGAGCAATCTGAAAATACTTTTTCACATCAACCAATAAAAGTGACCAATGAGCTGAAAGTGACATATTCTTAGTGATCAGTAGCCTACATAGATTCGAAACATAGTACCTCAGATATATAGTCACTTGGTGACAGACGGTGGCAATTATCCTATTGGACTAATATAAACTATTAACTGATTGTCTTTGTGTGCTTCATTCCATATAACTGACTTCTAAGAAAAAGCTTTTATTAAATCATTGTGGTTTAGGCTTCATTGTGACTAGTGGATAAACTGTACTGTTATTGAGAAAGAAATTCATTCATGTAGAAACTGTCTGACAAATCAAGGCTGGCAGAAGTTGTCTGACAACAGCAGGATCGAGTCATTTCAATCATAGGATTTACTTCTTAGAGTAATCTAAGACTGCTTGAAAGAACTTAATTGAGGAGCTTAAGGTCTTAATTTGATTTTGATCTAGTGTTGTTTATCTTGTTCAAATTATGCAGGTG